TTATCTTTTTTTTCTGTTATTATTTTTACTGCTCATTGTTGATTCGTTTTTGAACGAACTTGTCAGTGGTCCTTTTGGGGCAAGTTTTTATAGACGAAATTTCATTTGAGGAGTTCATTTGGTAGACATTTCTAATGCGCTTCTCGAGATATTTTATCTAACCCAGGTAATAATTTGTAATAACTACCATCGTACCATCATTTTGATCAAGTTACTTTCACATTATCTAACGTTTTCCATCTTTCACCCCTGTTTAATACCTGGTCGTTTGGAAGTGATCCCGTCTGCCATTTTGACGTGCAGAAACACCCGGTCTCTCGCAGTTTTTTGGCACTAACCATCAGATTTTAAGTTGATCATTATCATCTGGTGAGCTATTCAAATCGCCCTGCGACCGTGGTATGTGGTCCGTCCGTTGCCCGTCCTTAAACTACTCTTGTAATCGCTATTTCTTAAAAAGTATTGGAGAGGTCTTTCTCGAATTTGTTATCAAAGACAAAAAAGACACAGACACCAAATTAGCTACTATGATGCATTTAGTTTTTATTTGTAAGGGTTGGCGATTATATGGCCACGGCTTCATACATATGAAGTTACCGACTCTAAATTTGAGTCATATTGCAAACCAAACTGATATAATTAGGGATCAACTTGATCAAACGTGTGCAAAATTGCAAAACCTGGGACAATTGAAATATGAAGGTTAAATTAAGTGAACACTGGTTACAGATTTACACCTCGTTTTTATATTTTTTACCCATTACTTATTCGATAATAATTGGTCCCATTATAAATATTTGTAATTCAAGTGAACACAGGGAACAGCTGTACACTTAAAAACAATATATTTTTAAATTGCAAATACAATTTGTAACTTCACAAACTTAGTTTGAGTGAAACTGTTTATTAAATGACAACTGGTCAACATGGTATATAGGGAAATTGAACTATGTTCGGCCAGAGAATGGATTGCCCGTCCTTAAAATGTATATCCATGATCCCATAACATGAACAACAATTATATATATCAATATTTTGAAAGAATATTGGCAAGACCCTGCTGTAAAATTGTGTTGTCCAACTTGGACAGATGGACGTTGTCCAAAAAAAAGTCAGGGGAATCTCAGGGTATTTGATATAATTGATATTAATATACTTAATATAAAATACATTTATGCAATGCTAAGTTATTTTTTTACACATGACTACTGCAAGGTACTGTACGAGTCGTTCAAGCCTCAACACAATTTCCTTGGTTTGGATTCGCATGCACTACTTAAAAGCCTGCGATTCCCATTTACCCAGTTCTTTGATTTCAGCATCAAACATACCAACCGCTCAAGCTCTAATAGCAGCGCCTATTCTAAAAGGGGACGGGGGACTTAGCTGATCGGTCTTGGAACTAGACAATGACAATTTAACACTTGTTGCAGACAGCACGACATTATTAATAGACAGTGTATGGGAGGCAACTCCAAACTTGTGAACACCTAATTCGTAAGCAATACATGTAAATATCTGTACTTGTGTAAGGCAATCTTTACTACCACTTGTCCCCAAAACAAAAATCGTCTATGTCAGGGTTATAGACTCTAGCTTGGACTAACATTTAAACAGTCATTCCAAAAATGTGGTAATTTGTTTTCAAACAAAACATGAATAAAACTGACCCATAGACAAATATTTATTAACAAAATATAACCTTTGCAACTGAAAACCAAAGAGCTAAAAATCAGCAGGGTTGACTGGTAACAGCCTCACTGCAGATTTGATATCCATTTTCACAAGATAAGCAACACTGTCTATAAAACCATTTACATTGGAACCTTCTGGAAAAAATAAATGATAAATCAATCTCCATCTTCCATCTTTTTGGGTACTAAACCTAAAGGTGACAACCTGAGATTAGCCCAGGGTCTGGATGGGACGGGACCTGCATTCTCCCTAGTTTGATTTACTTTAACACTTTGACCAAGGCTGCACTTTCGTTTTCCTGAATTGAAACTAAGTTTTCTAATTTGTAGTTACACGAGGCCCATGATATATTAAATGAAAACCCTTAACAAACCTCCCAACTTCCTTTACCTGAATTGCTCATCATAGAGTTTCCAACCTAAACCGGAAGATCGACGAGCGCCTAGACGAACAGTATGCATGTACTTGAACAACCCGGCCATTTAATAGGGCCGGGCTGACCTATACAGGCTAGGAAAGACCAGAATAGCATCTGTCCTAATAATCTATGTCTGAAATTGCAACAGACTGCGTCTTTGTAGACAGACGCAATTCAAACCCCACTAACGAAAGCTTTGCTGACTGCTTCAGGGTGTATGGACATACTCGCCAATAACCTTTTTCTTAGCCCCAAATCCATCTTGTACACTGGTAACCACATAGGGATAACTATCATCAAAACCGCCCCAATTGTAATTGGCTGACCAATGTTCACAACAACTGCTGGGGAATTTCTGATGTGAGTTATTAAATCCTCCAATCTTGGGGCCATCCTGTCAAATACTACAGCAGCCACCCGTGACATCTGTTCCTCCGATAACTCCGATGACCAAGTAGCAGCATTCTCATGGTAACTCTGCTTGGTGCGATGAACCTTCACTGGAACCGTCCTAGACATGGATTTAGCCTTAGGCATGCTGAATTTAACTCAAGTCAGCAATAATGAAATTAATTTACAGAACAATTCAATTAATTTTATGTTCATTTAAGGCTATTCAACTAATTGACTCGGGCATGATACTTAAGTTAAATTGAAGAACAATTCAAGTCAATTTCTGTTCACTCATTACTTTTTAAAGCATTTAACTCTGAACAAAGTACTTTATTAATTTATAAACGATTTAAAACAAACTATGTTTGATCAAAGCTAGTCGAATTGACAGATAGTATAAGCACTCGATTCTTCAGCTGATAGGTAGTTAAAACCTGACATTTCCAACAAATCACAACACATTAACAATGTATTGCAAAAGTATGTCACAAATTTGTAGAAAATAGTAGTACCATACATGATTAAATTGTGTGTGAGATTAAAATTGTTGTCAGATATTCTGTAAAAAATCTGAATTGTCCATAGTAAGATACATATAATCTGGCTTAATGCCAAGGATGATTTGTAAAACGTGGGACCTACATGTATGTCCCTAACACTACCTGGAGGTATTATAATTAACATCGACACCTTTTGTGACCACCACATGCAACATCTACTATAATTGATCAGTCCACTATGACTGTTAGGATTGAATAAACGGAGCAAAGGTACAATTGGAGATAAAATTGTGATTGGTTAGAAAAAATACTAAACAAATTTGCAACCAAATGCAATATTCCAACTGTTAGAGGGTAGGAAATTCCAACAACGAAATGCGCACAGAAATACACGGCACTGCTCTAAAGTATGGACAAGATCAACCAACATCATCAACATTGCCGTACATGTACTTATTCAAGTACTACAGAACTATTTAAACGCCCGAACCGAAAATCAGCTATTACCTGTACTTATCCAAATAACGCGTAATGCTAAAGTAAACACATATAAATATCGTACATAAGTACAATAGTGGAGGTAGCTCCAACAATAGACTCTTAACAGTTACCCGACCTTATATCTTTATGCTGAATGTTGCGTCAAAGGTGACTAAAAGACAATAGGCCTACCATCAGATTCCAAATAAGGGACCATAACTGACACGCGTGATCACTCATAATCGCTGCACCATGTGACACCGAGAACACGACACACTCATAAATATACAAAGATGTTGAATTTCCGAAAAGCTAGTGAACAATTATTAAGTTACAGAATAAGAATTCACAATGAAAACTATACAAACGATTACGATTAACAACACAATTCAAGAACCCAGTGACAAATTCCAGCATGGCGGTTACCCTTATCCCCTGACCTTTAAAACGCCGCTCAGGAAAACTGACAACATCTAACACTACCTACGTGAAACTTTTAATGTGATGCCTTTTTTCTCTTTTCCCTCCTCTGTCATTTGGGCGGTTTCCTTGACAATATATGTCATGCCGACAGACCCTCTCCGTGATCTCTATCAATACGTTGCGGTGTTTGAATCTTGTTTATGTCTGACTCATTGAAAACTATGTGGAGTAAAGCTAGTAGAAAAATGCTACTTTTACTAATAATAACTGGACATATTAGGAATGTTCTGGCACTTTTCAAACAACACTGGTACATTGTAAATTTTGTGCATTTGACAATTTATAACAATGGGTGCGTCTGAGATAGTAAGAACTTTATATATCAATGCTAATTGAATTTCTAACACAATTAGACTGATCAAAAACTGCTATATAAAGTCTTGTTACTTGCAATAGGTTGGGCGTGCCTATGCCCGTTGTCAGATAAATGCCCTCGCTAAAGTTAACCTGTTACATTTGCCTTCTTAACACGAGTGATAAACCATAAAACAACAAGGAACATGCCTCGCAATTGCAGTCAAATTAGATATTACAATCACCACCATCACCATCACAACCACAACATCACCATTACCACCATCATTACAACCATTACCACCACCATCACCATCACCACCACCACCACCACCACCACCACCACCACCATCATTATCACCATCACCATCACCACCACCGTCACCATCACCACAACAACCATCATCACCACCATCACCATAACCATCACCATCACCATCACCACCATCACCATAACCACCACCATCACCACCTTCACCATCACCATCACCATCACCACCATCACCATCACCACCATTACCATCATCACCACCATCACCACCATTATCATCACCACCATCACCATCACAACCATCACCATCAACATCAACACATCCAACACCACCACCACCACCATCACAATCACCACAACCAACACCATCACCACCACCATCATTACCATCATCACCTCAAACAGCACCACCACCACAACCAACACCACCAACACCTCCACTACCACCACCATAACCATCATCACCTCAAACACCACCACCGACACCATTATCATTACCACCTCCAACACCACAAAAATTACTATCACCATTACCACCTCCAACACCACAAAAATCACCATCACCATTACCACCACAACCTCCTACACTAGCAACGCCATCACGACCACCACCACCCTCACCAACATCATCCTCATCACCACCAACAACTCCACCATCACTACACTCACCAACACCATCATCATTACCACCTCCAACACCGCCACCAACACCAATACCATTATCATCACTATTACCACCTCCAAANACCATCACCATTACCACCTTCCTCACCATCACCACCACCACCAACACAATCACCACCACCAAAACCACAACCACCACCACCACCATCATCACCACCACCATCACCACCAGAACTACCCCCACCACCGCCACCATCAGCATCACCACCATTACCAGCTCCAACACCACCACCATCACCATCACCACCATTACCAACTCCAACACCACAACAATTAGCATCACCACAAACAACCATCACCATAACCACCACCACCATCACCACCAACACCATCAAAATTACCATAACCATTACCAACACCATAACCATTACCACCACCATCACCACCATCATCACCATTGCCAACACCATAACCATTACCACCACCATCACCACTACCACCACCAACACCACCACCATCACCATAACCATCACCATTACCACCACCATCACCATAACCATAACCATTACCAACACCATAACCATTACCACCACCACCACCAACACCACCACCACCATCACTATTACCACCACCATCACCTTTACCAGCATCACCATCATCAACATCACCATCACCACCACCATCACCACCACCACCACCATCGTCACCACAATCATCACCACCATCACCATTACCACCTTCCTCACCATCACCACCACCACCAACATTATCACCACCACCACCACCATCGTCACCACAATCATCACCACCACCACCATCACCACCACCACCATAACCACCACCACCACCACCACCACCACCACCACCACCACCACTGCCACCATCAGCATCACCACCATTACCAACTCCAACACCACTACCATCACTATCACCACCATTACCACCTCCAACACAACAATCATTACCATCACCACAAACAACCATCACAATAACCACCACCACCACCACCATCGTCACCACAATCATCACCACCACCATAACCACCACCACCAACACCACCAACACCACCAACACCACCACAACCACAACCATTACCACCAACACCACCACAACCACAACCATTATCACCTTCCTCATCATCACCGCCACAACCATCATCATCACCTCCACTATCATCACCACCATCACCATCACCACCATCACCATCACCACCATCACCATCACCACCATCAACATCATCACCACCACCATTATCACCACCATCACCACCACCATCACTATAAACACTTTCACCATCACCACAACCATTACCATCACCACAAACAACCATATCTATAACCACCACCACCATCACCACCAACAGCACCACCACCACCACGGCCACCACCACCACCATTACCAACACCATAACCATTACCACCACCATCACCATTACTATCAACATCACCATTTCCACCACCATCATCACCACAAACAACAAACACCAACACCACCACCACCGCCACTTCCACCATCATTACAACATCCAACACCAACACCCCAACTACCACCACCACCACAACCTTCATCATCATCACCACCATCATTACCACCACCACCACCATCATCATCACCACCACTATCATCATCACCATCACCATCACCACCATCAACATCACCACCATCACCACAACCACCACCATCACCCTCACTATCACCACCATCACCACAACCATCCATCACCACTACCACCACCAACATCACCACTACCATAATCACCATCACCGCCATCATCACCATCACCACCATTATCATCACCATCACCATTACCACAACCATCACCATTACCACCACCATCACCATCACCACCATCATCACCATCACCATTACCAACACCACAACCATAACCACCTTCCTCACCACCACCACTATCATCATCACCATCACCATCACCACCTTTCTCACCATCACCACCACCACCATCATCATCACCACCATCATCATCATCACCATCACCATAAACATCACCACCATCACCACCACCACCACCACCATCACCACCACCACCACCATCACCACCACCACCACCACCACCACCACCACCAC